AAAATAGCCCTTCTTTTTTTCCCTCCCAAGCCGAAGTGTTTTAGAGAAAAGGCCAGAGTGTCATTTACCCAGGCATTTCGATGCTCTTTTTTTCTGTTTTCTTTCTGATTTTTATCCATTTCTGTTCTCTAGAGGCAGTGTGGCAGCGCTATCATTATATGTGAGATTTCACTATGTGTTTACTGAAGGAGTTGAGCGGTTAGTGGAGAGGATTTTTAGCCGAGGGTCACATGCTTGTGCTCAGCGAAACAAACGCAGCTGTTAGTAGCTCAGACTACACAGACAGATCAAATAATGAAATCTCTCGGCAAAATTAATTTTCTTTCTTAGAAATAATGAGGGTGAACAACACCATCTGATAGCTAGTAGATTAATTTAAGCTAGTTTTCTGGTGTCCTTGGTAGGCTTTATAACTAGTTGTTTGGTCAACTATAACTATGTTCATTCAATTATGGCTGATGTATTGTCAATGACCATAAAATAAAATGAAACAGCTTCGAAATACACAAAAGTTTGTCTGTTTGTAAAATATTTTACTTGAGGTCAGTTGAAAGATTTTTTTTTTAAATACACAAAATGTTTGTTGTTTGTTTGTTAAGTTTGTTTGTGTGGTCAGTTGAATTAATTTAAAGTACACAAAGGTTTGTTTGTTTTTGAATATTTTACATATGGTCAGTTAAAATTTATTTAACCGATATACACAAAAGTTTGTTTGTTAAATTTGTTTCTTTTGTTGGTTGAATGGAATTGGAATACACAAAAGTTTATTTTGTTAGTTATATATTTATGCGTGATCAGTTTAAATTAATTTTATTGAAATACACAAACGTGTTTATTTGTTAAAATTGTTTGAGGGACCAAACACAGTTTATTAACAGCTTAAACAGGCAATGGTCAAACAGGAGCAAATGGCATCATAGGAGTAATCCAATAGCATAGTTGTGGTCAAAGACAGAGGTCGGTGCAGGTGGAAAACAGGATAAACAAAGTAACAAGGCAAGGCTTTAAAGCAGGGGTGGGCAAACTCGGTCCTGGAGGGCCTGTGTCCTGCATAGTTTAGCTGCAACACTAATCAAACACACCTGAACATGCTAATCAGTGTCTTCAAGATCACTAGAAATCTATAAGCAGGTGTGTGTGATCAGAGTTGGAACTAAACTGTGCAGGACACCGGCCCTCCAGGACAGAGTTTACCCACCCCTGCTTTAAAGGCTAGAGATGGCTGACATGAAACTGATGTTTTAACACAGTGACGAGATCCCGAAGAGCAAGTGTTTCGAAACACTGCACTAAAGCATGATCCGAAACACCCAGGTCACGTGACTAAAGCGATTCAAAGCATTGGTCATTTGAGAAGTGTTTCGACACCTGAGAAATTTACGCTTAACTGACAGGGTAGAAAAAATCTCATGTAGGCTAGTGGCTCATGCGTGTGCACAAAGTAACTGCAAATGGCCCGAGTTCAAATCCTGACTTGTACAAATACCTTGAAATTATGGCTTGATGTATTTTAATAATGTTTTTTATGACCAAAACAATACATATTTATTCAGTGTTCATTTTCAGAGGTCGGTGCAGGCTGCGAACAGGATAAACATTGAAACAAGAAAAGAATCTAAAGGCAAAGTAAGACTAGACAAAGAAAACATTTCACAATGTTACAGGTAAACTTAAAACAGGACTCAGCAATGTGTGTGTGAGTGTGTGTGTGTGTGTGAGAGAGAGGTGAATATATAGTCCATGTAATCAGTCTATGGTTCATTTCCAGCTGTGTGTGTGCAATCAGGGAGAGAACTGGAACTGGTGTGTTGTGTGTGTGAGGTGCTTAATAGAAATTGAAGTCCAGTACCCTGACAGATTTGCAGTTCTCTAGTGATCTGCAGCTGCTAGATCACTGGTAATTGTGAGTTTGTTTAATATTTATTTATTAATTATTTATTTGTTTGTTAGTTTGTTTGTTACATTTGTTTGTGTTCTCAGTTGAATTGAATTGAAGTACACAAAAGTTTGTGTGTTTGTTCGTTTAATTTGTTTGTATGGTCATTCAGTCATTTGTCAAGTTGTTTTGTTTGATTCTTTTGTATTTTCTTGCTCGCTTTCTCTACACGTTAACTCTTGCATCTTTCAGCTTGAATGTTCTTGTTTTTCTTTTTCCAAAAATGGCTGAACTGTAATTTTCTTTGGCCATGCTTAGTTTGCCATGCAGGAGACCACTGCTTTTTTGGCTGGGGAAGAAATGGACTGTGGGTACAAACATGGGCGTCTTTTTAGCAGCGTGTTCTTAAGGTCTATCCAGCAGCAGTGCACATATATGCTCATGTGGAATGATATCTGGTGCAAAGTTGTTCATTTCAGCTGAAAAATGGGGTTTAGTTTAATGTGCATCCATATGGAGCATATTCAGTGGAAGTCAGAATTATTAGCCTCCCTTAGATTTTTTTCTCTTTTAAATATTTCCCAAATGATGTTTAACAGAGCATGGACATTTATTATTAATAATGATAATATTTTTTCCTCTGGTGAAAGTCTTTTTGTTTTATTTCAGCTAGAATAAAAGCAGTTTTAATATAAAAAAACACTTTAGGGTCAAAATGATTAGCCCCTTTAAGCTATTTCTTTTTTACATAGTCTTATACAATAACTTGCTAAATAACCCTAATCTGCCTAGTTAACTTATTCACCTAGCTAAGCCTTTAACTTTAAGCTATATAGAAGTGTCTTGAAAAATATCTAGTCAAATATTATTTACTATCATTATGGCAAAGATAAGTTATTAGAAATGAGTCATTAAAACTATTATGTTTAGAAATGTGTTGAAAAAATATTCTCTTTGTTAAACAGAATTTGGTCAAAAAATAAACAAGGGGGCCAAAAATTCTGGGGGGCTAATAATTCTGACTTCAATTGATTATGTAGATTCATGACATAGTCTTTATTAGAAAAAAGTCATATTTGCATAATTTTCATATTTTTACAGTTAATAATGCTACATAATTGTTAAATTGGTAAAATCAATTAAATATACTTTATAAACTGATTAATGAAAGAAAAAAAATTAACTTATATAACTCCCTTTCCTTTGTTTGATGAGTTTCAGAGGCAGCATTTATAGTTTGGACATGTAAACTTTGGCTAAATTAAAATTTTATAATATATTGTTTACAAATAACTTTACATTAACTTTAATGAATATTTTAGAACATTAAAAGTAATCAGAATGAGTGTCATTATGGATAAAAACAGACATTTTATTCAAGGGATTATGCGACATAAGGACTGATGAAAATTATACTACACTTGTTTTGTATAAAGTAAAATGACTAACTGTCTTTATAGATTTTTTTAACACTGAAAAAATTGCTTTTAAACAAGAAACTATGCTAATAAAACTATGCTGAACACTGTGTCCTTTTATTATTAGGTCTTTGAAGAGAACATTCCCTTATTGTTATTTTTTACCAAACATAGGATTGTCGACAGAAAGTTCAAATCCCATCTAGTCAGCACTTTTTAATAATGTTCTGTAATGTTTACAAATGAGGTCAGTAAGCAGAGAGTACAGGTGGGTTTTGTAACAGTTTGAACACATTCAACCACATCTACACACAAGTGAAGTGGTCAAAATTGGAAAAGTTCAAAGGAACAATCAATTTTAACACTCTTTTTTTTAATGAAATTCTAATGTTCAATTTTAATCAATTCATTATGCTAAGCTAAGCTAAAAGAAATCTGCTGTGAATGGATTTAAAATGGTTCAAGTCAACTGTTTAAGTTGTACAATGAGCCTTTTTCAAAAAAAAAAAAAAGCTGGAGTGTTCCTTTAAACTGTTTTAGACCTGTTCACACCTGTTTTTGCATCATCTGCTTGTGATCATATTGACACAAAAAACACAGCCTTAGATTAGCTCGAAAATGCTATTACTTTTAAAATGCCTAAGAGTGTAAAAATATATTGGATGTACAATAAATTCCTTCCTATTTAATGTCCTTTTCCATTCCAGTTAGGTTCTTGGTCTATAAACATAGCGTTGCCTTTAATATACCGTTTTACCGTGCAGAGATTTTCATGACTGCCCACATTCAGTTTATTTTCATTTTCCGTGTACGACTGCGAGAGAAAAGGAGAAGGAGACGGTTAGCAGCCTAACACAGTTTTGAGCAGGAGCAGGAGGCGTGTTGCGGCCAGGCTATTTTCTGCTGCCTGCATGTGCGCTATTGATGCCTTCTGGTTTCGGAAATCCTTTTTCTGCACTAATCAGACGTGGTGCGGTCGGCAGGCGTCTCTCGTGTGGTCGGGCCTGGCAACGTCCGGCGTGCTCTCTGCCCCATCTAATGTACAATTATCCTGACGGAGAAACACAAGTCTGCTTATTATCTGCAATCGAAACGCTCTTTACAGAAGCGCTTGCTCATTTGCATTGTTGTTCGATCTCTGTCTGCCTGTTTATACACTCCTCTCTGGGTTCGGCACTTGAATTCACTTCCAACTGGATTTCCGTTCTGCTCAAATGGTGTTTTGCTGTAATATAAAGAAAAGCCCTTGAGAGAAATCTTCAAAAACCCACCGCAGAAAAAAACACACAACTACTAAAAGATTCACACGTAGAGTAAACCCAGTGATGGTTGCATTGACATTTCACTCATCCTTTCAGAGCTTGAAGCTCTTTATAATGAGTGTTGTGTGTTTGGTGGAAGGTAGTGTGTGAGTGTGTGTTTAATGCGAGCCTGTTTGTTCAGCTTTAAAACAGTCCTGACAATTCCCCTTTTCTGCAGTTCTGTGCAGCTGAATCTCTGGTATTTAACGTATGTGTGTGTGTGTACGGGGGTTATTCTACCATATTGCAACCAGACGTTAAATAAATCTGACAAAAACCTCCCTTTCAGAATGTCTGTGCATTCTCACTGATAAGTTTTATTTTAATTAACAGCTTGCACTAAATTAATTTGGTTTTATATGAACGGTTTTACAAGGTTGTTAAAATGTGCTCATGTGTTTGCAGGTCTGGTCACCACTACGTCTCGGAAGCTGGACAGAGAACAACAGGATGAGCACATTCTGGAGGTAAAAACACCTGGATTCCCCTTACAGTACTCTGTTTTACAGCAGTCACTCACTCTAGAAATGTATATTTAAAAGCTCCACCTGTAGGTATTCTTCTAAACGAATATACTGGGTTAAAGTTAAGTTATTCTGTGCCGAGTATGAGATGTTGTATTTGTTATCACAGGGATATATATAAAAAGCATATATAGAAATGCATTGGCAGTTGAAGTCTCAAATAATATTCATGTTTAATTTAATTAAATTTATCTTTGGTTCTAGAGCACTTTTACGATGTAAATTGTATAAAGCAGCTTAATAAAGAAGTTCTAGGCAGTTGAAACTGTGTCAGTCCAGTTTTCAGAGTTGAAGTTCAGTGTAGTGTGGTTTAAGTTTCACTGCTGGAAGTTTAAACACTGAAGAGCAAATTTATCGATGCACAGCTTCACAAGTCTCAATCCAAGAAAGCCAGTGATGTGGAACAAACTTAGAGAGGGGTCTGGATGCACTGCAATCTGAGCTGCATTCAATGCTTTTTAATGGGCTCACCTAACCCCACCCCTAACCCTACCCGTCCCAGTGATGTCACTCGCTCTATTGAGTGCATTGTGTCTGACATGGCATCGCTGAGTGATGCAAATTCAGCTTGCATCATAAAGGCTGCATCCAGATACTATTGCAAACTTCACCAATTGACAAAAGTGAAGGGAAAAAACCTTGGGAGAAACCAGGCTCAGTTGGGCATGACCATTTCTCATCTGACCTAACTTCTATGATCGTAAAACTGAATATTATTAACTTAACTATTAAGTTAACAAGTTAACTTAACTATTACTCCAGAATCTGTCCTAGAAACCTGGTGTCCTGGTGACCCCCACTCATCTCATAGAATGAGTTATTTCATACACTCAATCTGAAGGTGTTAAAAGAAAAGACATGTCATTAAGGCCCGATCCCAATTCTACCCCTTAGCCCTTCCGTTACCAATTTTTCTGAATTCTCTTTAGTTTAAAGGTGTAGGGCTACAGGGAAGGGCTAGATAGCTCTTGAAATTAACATTTTCTTGGACCAAACTCGATACCAAATGGTAAGAAAATTTCCCAGAATACACCAACCACAACGGCTGCTAAGCTGCACCCGGAAGTAAGGAGATCCACAAATTAGTATTTTTTGTTTTTTATTTATTAGTTTTTTTCACAACATACTTTCACATCTGACTCTTGATGACACTCAAGAGTGGCTTGGAATGATCTTTTTTCAGTGTCTGGTATAATGCTTGTTGTTTTTGTGTGTTTAGATGAATGTGGCTATGATGTAACTGCACAGTACAGTTATAAGCTTATTGCCGCATTATATGGTTATGATTACATGATATCGTTGCCTTCAGGGATTTCCTGAAGATAAATGACTAAAAAATAATGCAACTGGATTAACTACAGCAGTCGCCATTGTCAATGTCATATGAAGTAAGAGATTGTGATGACGTATGATGATGTGTTCAGGTGTTGTAGTGCTGTCTTTTTTCTTAGGAGTAAAATTTGAAGCCCCTCCCCTTCACACTGTTTCAAGGGCCAAAGGGAAGGGGAAAGGGGAAAAAAATTGGGATTGGGCCTTAATGTGGTATTTTCATGTGCTTTCAGATGTAGCAGCAACAAAGAGTAATAGTTCACTAGGAAGTGACACAAACAACTGTGAAATTGCAGAATTATTATCTTCGATTTCAGAGTCGATCCAGTTAAATTGTCTGTGATTATATATATTTTTTGCATAGCTTATGACTGAACTATGGCTTTGTGTAGTAAACACTGCTACATCTGAAAGCAGGTGCTGGAGATTTACTACTGATAATACAACCGGCTTCACTGACAAAATGGTCATGAAAATTACCTTCTGTTAATCGTACAGCCCAAATGTCTTTACTGTCACATTCAATACTAAATCAAAATGACTAGTTTCTTGAATAAAAAATAAACTTTGAAAAGTTCTGTAGATGGATTATTATATCATTTCTTTTAGCAGTTTTTTCTTTAAAAAAAGTTTTTTGGTTTTGTACATTAAACTGGATTTTGTGGAAAAAGTATAAACAGATAAGTTTAAAACTTGTTTAGACCCAAGGCACAAACCTAAACTGCACACGCGAGCAGCCTGAATTCTTCCCCCTCCTTTCCTTCCAACATGTTTCTGAGGGGATTTAGATATCCGGTGTGTGTGGAGGGTAGGTGTGTGTGTATGCATGTGGGGTTTGCCTTTGTTCTCTCTCAGTGTACCGTCTCGGGATTAGGCAGGCCAGAACAGGAAGCGTCACCCTGCCCAGCCAAAGTTTATACTTGTGGATTTTAATTGAGCTGCAAGCATCTCTCTCCCTCTCTCTTTCCATCTCTTTCACAATAACACTAACCCGCCCGCTCCCTTTTTTCCCCAAAAACTAACCGCAGTTTGCTGATACTTCAAGTTGTGCACAGAAGACTTCACAGATTGATGCTCCTTTAATTATCATTATAAATTGTGCAATTCGTGGCCTGTGGCATGCCGTTTAATTTGGCAAATTTGCAGCAGCCATTCCCGGCTCTTCCATGCCTATTTCTTCGACTCTAATTGCATTTGTAAATGACAGGAGGGATGCGGACAGGAAATCAAATCAGGGAGGATGGTACACCCTGCAGCCTGCGCTCATCCAGTGCCTGTCCTCCCTTCTTCTCTCCACGCATCCGTGACGTGAAGAGCTTCACTTGACTTCAAAGCAAAGCCCGCTGACCGTTAGACAGTAGGCTTGTAATTAGCTAATGCCAATAATTCAGCTAAATATTAGTAGTGCCAAGATCCCCTCAAGGTTAAAGCTGTTCCTCTGGTTTTTAATTAACTAAGCTTTTTTTTTTGTTTTAACCATCAAGATTGGAGTTTGGTGGTGCGTGTAGTTTCATTGGACTTGGATGGCACATCTTAACCATAAGGAATGCTTTTTCACCTGACATTGTCTTTTACCCTTTTAATTGCACTTTATAATGGAGTTGTGGAACTGCATAAATTGGTGGCAAGACCTGACTTTAAATCACATTTGAAGTCTCCATGGGTTTATCTTGTACGTAGACATATAAGCAGTAAAGGAGAAGCAAACCTTTTGAAGACATCTGAAAATTTGATGCACAGCGAAGAGACAAGTCAAGCACACTTTTGGCTTCAGCATAAGACATGCTTCAAAAAGTTGTGGTGTCAGTGAATAGTTTAGTCCTCCTCTTAAGTCCACCTAAGCTTGTTTACAGTTCAATTGAAGTAAAAAAAACATCAGTTTCCAGCATTTTTTAACAAAACCTGCACTTTTTCAGTGATGCCACTTTAAGTAAAAGTAAAATACAATATTAAAAAATAACAATAGGCCGGCAGACTAATCGGTTGCATATATTGTCCATGGAGTCAGAGTTGAAAGGTACAATATATAATTTTTTAAAATTAAGAAATCCAAAATCAAACTAGAACAGTGTTATATTTTTTGCTGACTTGTGTACATACATTATCCAAAATCTTCAGAACTATGTTCAAATCCAGAATAATAATTTTAACTAGTGACACAGACCTGTCATGCCTTCTTTTTTCAGTTTGGTTTTGTAGAAAACAGGGAAACACTAAAGATGCTTTGTATGATGTGCATCTCAACAGAGTCTCAAAAGAGCAGTATTATAACAGAACCCTTAAATGTATTTATTATGTGATCACGACCAGAAGAACCAGATGTGGTCAACCATGGCATAATAAAAGCTCTGCTGCTTTAATGTGGAGTCTAACTTGTCTATTATCAGCACTTGCTTAATACTACTATAATAATAAGTTTTAAATACTTTAGATCAGTGGTCCTCAATCACTGGGCTGCTGATTGTTACTGGTCCGTGGATCAATTGGTACCGGGCCGCACAAGAAATCATTAATTGTTTCCGATTTATTTATTATCCAAGTCTGAACAATCTTTTTTTTTAATCTACCGTATTCTCTCTCTTACATATCGGTAACTTGAGCGCCCAAATTTAACCCACAAGTAGCTAAATAATTAAGAAACAGATGTCTTCGAAATGTTTGCTTAGAGCAGGGGTCACCAATCTCAGTCCTGGAGGGCCGGTGTCCCTGCAGGGTTTAACTCCAACTTGCCTCAACACGCCTGCCTGGATGTTTCAAGTATACCTAGTAAGACCTTGATTAGCTTGTTCAGGTGTGTTTAATTAGGGTTGGAGCTAAAATGTGCAGGACAACGGCCCTCCAGGAACAAGTTTGGTGACCACTGGCTTAGAGGAAAAGGTCCAGTGAAGTACCCGTGAACTGCCAAGGAATCGCATCCCATGCATCCCATTTTTCAACAAATCAGATAAAACCACCATGTCTGTGCAAGAAGATCAACTGCTGGAGATCGCAAATGCGGTGGTCTTTTATAGGCCGTTTGCATATGGTGTCTTTTCTAGAGTTCACTAAGTTCATTATTGCCAATGTTGGTGTGACAAACATCGTGACACGCTCACGCCTTCCAGACGCACATAGTTAAATAAATACTGGGAGCCTTCGCGAGTCACATGAAAAGAACTGACCAATAAGCTTCAGCTTGTATGGAATATACACATTTCAGTAGACTAATTATCTCAGACAAACACAGAGTACCCAAACACTGCAGTGCTTTGTAATTTTTATCATAAATAAGACTTGCATCAGAGTGACAGCAATGTTTTGTCAGCTCGTCATTCTCTGAGAAAACATTTGATGGTCACCTAGCAACCTACGAACCACCGCCTCTTAGTCTGTGGTAAAATTGTCAATCATTCACCGGTCCGAGGTGGTAAAAAGGATGGGGACCACTGCTTTAGCTCATCCATGAACATGAGTTTTGCAGGTGTCCTGTAGGATGTAATGAACACAGCAACTCCCATGATTCCACACTCAATCTTAGCATCAACATACTGCCTGTATTTGTTATGAATATGTGCACTCTAGCGGCAAAATGACATACCATGGCTTTAATGTGATCTCTATTTTAAAACAACTCC